GCTATATGTACTCGGCAGTTGTCGAATGCTACGAGACTCTCAAGGAAATCATACTGAGCCTTCTACTAGATGCAGAAGATAGACAGTAAGAATATAAAGAAAAAAAGAAGCTTTATAGCCTATGTTCACCCATTTGATTTTCTTCGTATTAGAATCGTAATGGTTTTCGGGTTTCTTTCATGAATGAAATAGGGTTATACAGCTCATATGCTGCAAAGTAGAAGAATGCATAGAACATGAAAATTTTGTCAAAGAATTCAAAATGAGTGGCTTGCCTTCACTAAGTGAGAAGTTAGAGAAATTCTTAACTCTATTGGTAACTTTTTTTTTTTCCCTTTTTGTTACTATAATTCAATTCCTTCTTGATGGACTTATTGAGGTCTTACAATTTTTCCATTGGCAGCGAGCTGAAGACAGCAAGTCCGAGCCTCAGATAGTCAATGTGCTGCAGGATATTGTAGAAATTATCATTCAGGATGTTATGGTCGATGGCCATGCGTATGTTTGAAAATTTAAGTTCAATATTGTTGTATGAATTTTATTACTTGCCACTCTCTATGGACTCAATGATATTTTCTCGGTTCTTTCTTCAGAATTCTGCATGCACCTCAGCATCATAATGTTCAGAGTGGACAGCAGCAGAGGTTTGTTAACATCGACACTTCATTTACTCAGAAGAGATCGGTGATGGAGAAGGTAGTCTTGAAATCCACACTCCTTACATTATTCTTTAAGAAAAGGCGAAATGCACCGTCCGATGTGATGTCTGATGAGGATAAAGTATGTTGGAGTTATTTTTAAAACGTGGTTTCAAAGTAGGCTCATGCGAAAATATAACGAATTCTCATTGGATGGATGTCGTTGTAAATTAATTTACGCCGACAGTGAATTACCATTAAACTATTGTTGTTTTCATATAAGCTGTTACTTACTAGTCTTTTTCGTTTCTGTAGGTTATTAGACTTCACTTGCTTTTAACAGTCAAAGAATCTGCGATAAATGTGCCCCAAAATATTGAAGCCCGCCGCCGTATTACATTCTTTGCGAACTCCTTGTTTATGAATATGCCGAAGGCTCCTAAAGTTCGGGATATGTTGTCTTTCAGGTTAGTCGTTATAAATATTCTAACAGTTTTACCTCATGTTCCATGATGTCTAATCTCTCTGCCTTCGGCTTCAGTGTTCTAACACCGTATTACAAAGAGAATGTTCAATATTCCAATGATGAGCTCAAAAAGGAAAATGAAGATGGAATTTCGATTTTATTCTACCTAACAATGATATATCCTGGTGAGTATTGCTTTATATGCTTAGCTATAATTTCTCCCCCTTTAATGCATTTGCACTCGTGTTATTTACTTACATTAACGCAATGCAGATGAATGGGCCAATTTCGATGAGCGCATGAAAAGTGAAAATGTTGAGGAAGAAGAAGATAGGGAGGAATATGTTCGTCAGTGGGCATCTTACAGAGGGCAGACACTTTCTCGAACAGTGAGAGGAATGATGTACTATTGGCAAGCCTTACTCCTCCAGTACCTCATAGAAAACTCAGGAGATTATGGTGAGTTCTCTATTTCACATGCTGTTTTTCAAATTCAAATCACGAGATTTGGCGGAAACAGTTCATTTATGAATGTACTATATACCATGTCTCATGCAGGTATTTCTGAAGGCTACCGGACCGTGGAAATCAACGACAGAGATAAGAGGCTTCTTGAACAAGCAAAAGCTCTGGCTGATTTAAAGTTCACCTATGTCGTTTCTTGTCAACTGTACGGTTTGCAAAAAAAGTCTAAAAATACTTTTGACAGAAGCTGTTTCAATAATATTCTCAATCTGATGGTAACGTAAGTCAATACAACCGTTTCGGTGAACTGTTTAAGGTCCTTGTAAACTAAGAACGGTATTGATGATGGAAAAATTAAACATTCCATGCAGACATTCAGCCCTTCGCGTTGCGTATATCGATGAAACGGAAGACACAAAAGGGGGAAAGAAAGTCTATTACTCTGTGCTTGTCAAGGGAGGGGATAAATATGATGAGGTATAAACGAATTAGATTGGATCATTAACGAATTAGATTGGATACTAGTACTTTATCGTAATGCTTCTGTGTTATATTGATAGGAAATATATCGCATAAAGCTTCCTGGTCCTCCAACCGAAATTGGGGAAGGGAAACCTGAAAACCAAAACCATGCCATCATATTTACTCGCGGAGAAGCGTTACAAACCATAGACATGAACCAGGTAACTTTTCCTCAGACTTTAACTCAAGTTAACATAAGAAATCACATATAATAAAAAGTTATACAAAAGTAGCAGGCAAACGGGCATCAAGCTGCGCCGCTACCCCATAAAAATTATTTATAACTTAGTACCTTTTGTATATCAAGCTGCGCCGCTAACCCTTAAAAATTATTTATAACTAAGTAGTACTTTTTGTATAACTCAATGCTTGTATTTTTTTAAGGACAATTACTATGAAGAAGCTTTCAAAATGAGAAATGTATTGGAAGAATTTCACGCGCATAAAGGGCAAAGGAAACCAACTATATTGGGTCTAAGAGAGCATATATTTACAGGAAGGTCTGTCTTGTTACAGTATTTAGTCAAGTATTTAATTTTATATGAATTAATTTTTTCACGACCAAGTAAACATATTTTTATCATCAAATATGAAATGATAACATATATATTAATATTTGCTTGTTTGTTTTTGTTATTTGGCAGTGTTTCGTCCCTTGCTTGGTTTATGTCGAACCAGGAGACCAGCTTTGTGACCATTGGCCAACGTGTTTTGGCAAATCCTTTAAAGTTAGTCCCAATTCGGATTTTTCTACATATCTCGGTGTTTTGACTACCTTGCATAGTAAACTTTTTTATTACATATGTTAAGTAATCCATGTTCCTGAATTTGCAGGGTTCGATTTCATTATGGCCATCCCGATATATTCGACAGAATCTTCCACATAACAAGAGGTGGCATAAGCAAAGCATCAAAAACTATCAACTTAAGCGAGGATATATTTGCAGGTACGTCGAGGTTGCACAGAAACTGTCCATCTGGTGAATGGGATTTTCTTTACTGATTTTTGCTTTTAACATCTATCGATAGGGTACAACTCAACTCTTCGTCAAGGATATATTACACATCACGAGTACATACAAGTTGGTAAGGGGCGAGATGTTGGTCTGAATCAGATTTCACTCTTTGAGGCTAAAGTTGCAAATGGAAATGGAGAACAAACTCTTTGCCGTGACGTTTATCGTCTCGGCCGAAGATTTGACTTCTTCAGAATGCTGTCGTTCTACTTCACAACAGTTGGGTTCTATTTCAGCAGCATGGTAATTAATCGAATCACCTTTTGGAAATCATATCATGATAGTTGATTGTTAGTATTCATATTGTGTTCCTAGAATGTGCTTTGCTGAATTTGAGTACTATGTGTGTATTTTCAGATTACCGTGCTTACGGTGTACGTGTTCTTATACGGACGTGTATATATGGTATTGAGTGGAGTCGAGAGAGAAATTATTCAAAGTCCGGATATACATCAGAGCAAAGCCCTCGAACAAGCCTTGGCATCTCAGTCTGTAGTTCAGTTGGGTTTGCTTCTGGTGCTTCCCATGGTTATGGAAATCGGTTTGGAGAAGGGATTTCGCACGGCCTTAGGTGATTTCATCATCATGCAACTTCAGTTAGCCTCTGTGTTCTTTACTTTCCAGCTTGGAACAAAAGCTCATTATTACGGACGCACACTCTTGCATGGAGGCTCTAAATATAGGCCAACAGGTCGCGGATTTGTCGTCTTCCATGCAAAGTTTGCTGATAACTATCGGATGTACTCACGAAGTCACTTTGTGAAGGGCCTCGAAATACTTATACTGCTGATCATTTACGAGATCTATGGAGAGTCTTACCGTAGCTCAACTCTTTATTTCTTCATCACAATGTCAATGTGGTTTTTGGCCATTTCTTGGTTATTTGCTCCGTTCTTGTTCAATCCTTCTGGTTTTGATTGGCAAAAAACGGTGGACGATTGGACGGATTGGAAGCGATGGATGGGAAACCGTGGTGGTATTGGTATTCCGTCGGATAAAAGCTGGGAATCTTGGTGGGATGAAGAGAATGAACACCTGAAATTCTCAAATGCCAGGGGGAAAATACTCGAGATTCTTCTCGCATGTCGCTTCTTTATCTACCAATATGGAATCGTCTACCAACTGAATATTGCGCGTCGTAGCAAAAGTCTTCTGGTAGAGCAACTCATTTTTTTCGTTGTTTTACTCCTATTATTTGTCGCAAGCTTTCAGCAACGTCTTACTATCTTCCGGTTTTTTTTTTCATTACAGGTATTTGCACTTTCATGGGGAGTTTTAGTTATAGTCCTTATCGTCTTAAAGGTACATAAATGCTACCTTAAGTTTTCGATAAAGCAAGGCGAGCTTTAGTTCAGACTATCATTTGCCGTTGTAAAGTTAAAACTATTTCACATTTCTGTGATATAAATAAATCTGATTTTTCATGTTTTGCATAAACTTTCATATGGCTGTCAGATGGTTTCCATGGGTAGACGGAGATTTGGCACCGACTTTCAGCTCATGTTTCGTATTCTCAAGGCGCTTCTGTTTCTCGGCTTCTTGTCAGTAATGACAGTGTTATTCGTTGTGTGCGCGCTTACTGTATCAGATTTGTTTGCTTCCATTCTCGCCTTCATGCCCTCCGGATGGGCCATTATTCTGGTAAGTCGAAACTTCCGCATCTTAGTAAGCTAACAACAATCTTTCCTTGTTTTGCCAACATTTTGGATATTATATCTGAATACTTTCTTTTACTTTTGCAATCAAGATTGCGCAAACATGTAGGGGACTCTTGAAGTGGGCGAAACTATGGGCTTCGGTGAAAGAGCTTTCGAGAGCATATGAATATGTAATGGGACTAATAATCTTCATGCCAACAGCAGTTTTGTCATGGTTCCCATTTGTGTCGGAGTTCCAAACTCGGTTGTTATTCAATCAAGCATTTAGTCGAGGACTTCAGATTTCGATGATTCTTGCCGGAAAGAAAGACACTTACAACAAAGCCGAATGACATGTTTAAATATACACGATATTCATTAACCGCAATTTTTGTGTTCGTATTTAAACTGCATTAATCATCAAAATTTATGTCGATCTTTTCAAATGTAGGCAGGAACTTGAAGTTTTCAGTTTGAAGAGAAATGGATCTTTCCCACTTATCAGAAAATTTTGGAAGTTCTGATTATTGTCTTGTCCTTTTTATCTAAATTTTAGTGACTTAGAACAGGAATGAAAAATGAAAATCCAAAATCTTGGTAATGGATAAAACGGCATATTGTATATGTATCATATAGGTTGATGTTTATTTATTTCTTTATGTAAAATAGAAAAGGATTCAGACAAATCATTATACCTCAATTTAATTCCGGAAATTCTTTTGGTGTATAAGGTACTGACACCGATCAAGTATTGTTTTTTTTATCAGACATCGAATTCGGTATTTTCTGAACTTCTCTAAAAGCATTCTATAATAGGATGTAGAGCATTTATATTGCCAACCCTTAAATTAAACTTCATCTCTATATAGGAGCATTTATATTGCCAACCCTTAAATTAAACTTTACATCTCTATATAGGCGGTGTTATTATCCTTATGTCCTTATATACATACATTGGGAATTTTGAAAATTAATCGGAATTTTCTGATAAAAAATAAATATTTTTGAAAAATATTTGAAGAAATATTAGAATTTTCAAAAAAAAAAAATCGAAAATTTTGAATTTTTTTATATTATCAAAAATTTTGAAATTTCTAATAAATTAGAACACTTTTTTTAAAATTCTCGATAATATTAAATTTATTTTTTTGTTTATTAAAATATCGAAATTTTAAAAAATTCAAAAAAATAAGGCAATACCAAATGTTTTAAAAAATTCGATATGTTAATTTAAAAAAAAAATCGATAAAGAATATATATCAGAAATTTAAAAATGAACTATCGAAAATTTGATCTATTATTAGAAATTTAGAATGAACTATCGAAAATTTTGTTAACATTTTTTACTTAAAATTGTCCATGGACAATTTGAAAATTACAAAAATATGTGGGAGTGTTAGGTTTAATTGAGGGGGTGACAGGTTAATTGCTCTAGGATGTATGTTGTGGGTTTATTCAAAGAGCTGGAAAATTGGGTTGCTGGATGGAAAGCCCACAAAAAATTAGGGTTTGATCGGAGCCATTATTTTAGAAAATTGTTTAAGGCACCTTAAGCATTGCTTTTCCATCCTAGTGAAAAACTAAAACTACTTCTAGATTCCGAAAATGCATCTCTGGACGCACCCTACTCACATTCATTTTTGAGCTAGACCCTAAGGCTATGAAAAAACAGAGATGTATCTCTGTGTAACTTACGGAGATGCATCTTCAGACGCTGTTTTAATAAAAAACGTGTCAGACCCTTCTTCTTCCTCATTTTTCAAAATACTCTCTCAAAACTTTCAAAACCTCTCAACTCTCAAACTCTTTCAACTCACATTCTCTCAAACCCATTCTACTCACTTCAAAGTTTGTACCATCGACATCCAATCAATCAAAGAGCTCACTCAACATCAAATTAAACTCTCGCATTTGGTAAGTTTTTTTATTTTCTATACTTTTTTTATTTCTATATACATTTGTAGAAATTTAGCATTACATTATGTAATAGTTAATTTAAATATGTTTTTAAAATTAACATTATGTTTGGTAGGTAGTTTAAATGATCAATGCATTATGTTGGATGTTAGAGTGGACTGCATTTCCGCCATTGTCGTTCATCTGAGTTGCAAAACATTACAGAGATGCATCTCCGAAAATTTTCAACATTTTGATTTTCCGAAGTTTATATGTCTTCATTGTTTGGCTTGACTTCATTGTGTTTCATTTGTATAATACTTGTGTAATATGTAAGTGTCATAAGTTATTCACATATTAATAATGCTTGCGTATTTATATTAGATTAAACAACCATGAGAATAATACAATGTATTATGTAAGTGGCACAAGTTATTCACATATTAATAATGGTGTATACCACCTTTTAACCTAAAACTGCTATGGTCCCTATATGAGAAGTTGATCGCTTTAGTTTCATCAAGTATTGTTTGTAATAAGAAGATTATAAATCAGATAACAACGATTCATGTGGAGGGATATGAGTGATCTAAAGGATATTTTTCATTCCTATATAAGAGAAAGTATTATCTTCAAGCCCACTTAAATGCACGACCATGCTGAAGTACAACAATATGGGATACCGAGCTTTTTTATTATTAATAAGTATATTAGGGTATTAAGGAATATAATATTGAATTATACAAGAGTGACACAAACTATGTTGCGTGTTCAATATATACAAGGTAAAAAATCATGTGATCTAACATAACCTTTATGTGAAATATATATATATATATATATATATATATATATATATATATATATATATATATATATATATATATATATATATATATATATATATATATATATATATATATATATATATATATATATATATATATATATATATATATATATATATATATATATATATATATATATATATATATATATATATATATATATATATATATATTATTGTGTTTATCGTAAATTTTGAAAAGTAATCGGAATTTTTCGGTAAAAAATAAATATTTTTCAAAAATATTTGAAGAAATACTAGAATTTCCAAAAAAAAATCAAAAAATTTGGTAGTCTGACAAGACACTTCCTTTTATTGACTTTTGGGCGACATATTGAATATCATACTTGACAAAAGCATGTGCCATCTTGATAGTCTTCCCGTATGAGCAGTTTTCTCGAATATGTACTTTATTGGATCCATTTTGGATATCAACAGAGTAGTGTGGCAAATCATATACTGTCTCAGACGTTTGGCTGCCTATGTCAACGCGCATCAAGATTTTTCCAATGGGGAATAACGACTCTCGCAATCGGTAAACTTCTTGCTCAGGTAATAAATTGCATGCTCTTTCTTCCCTAATTCATCTGTTTGGCCCAGGACACAACCCATTGATTCCTCGAGCACAGTCATGTACATGAATAGAGGTCTTCCAGGGACAAGAGGGATTAGTATCGGAGGCTCTTCGAGATACCCTTTGATATTTCCGAATGCTGACTGGTAGTTCTTATTCCACACAACCGCTTGATCCTTTCGTAACAACTTAAAGATTGGCGTGCAAGTAGGAGCCAAGTTGGAGATGAATCTGGAAATATAATTTAGTCTGCCGAGGAACCCTCTGACTTGTTTCTCCATTTGTGGCACATGAATTTCTTTGATGGCTCGTACCTTTTCGGGGTCCACTTCGATTCCACATTGACTAACGATGAAGCCGAGTAGTTTGCCGGATCTAACCCCGAAGGTACATTTGGTAGGATTTAGCCTTAATTGGTATCTTCTAAATCGGTCACAATTATGCCAAGTGGGGTGTGCTTTGAGACTATCAACGCTATTTCCGATGCTGAAGACGGAGATAGCGACTGCGATATGGACGCATGGATCAAGCCAAGCGTGCCAGGACAAAGTCTCTGCAACTGGTCCATCCGGGAAACTGTCCCAGTGACTTTTAAACATTAATGACTTGTTTTATCAATTGTTGAATAATCCTATGTCCTACCCGGGGCATAGTGATGTTACATTAGGGCTACTTGATTATGTGTATTGCACTGTTTTAATCATGAAATAAAGGCGTTTTTCATATTCAAATATTGTAATCCCTGTTTTTCTTGTTTTTACTTTAACAATAAATGGCAACGTGGTTATTTGCTTTGTTTGCGTGTTGAAGTGTTTAACCATTTCCTTTGCAGGACTAATATTTCAGATGACATCTCATACGAACCGCCTATGACTCGTTTCGACTTCGAGCACCCGGTATTCCAAGCAGAGGAAGAGATTGTTGAGGATAGCGACCTGCCAGAGGAGCTGACTCGTTTGTTGAAACAGGAAGAGAGAATCATTCTGCCTCACCAGGAGGAAATTGAGATCATTAACGTGGGGTCGGAAGAAGTTGTGAGAAATATCCGTATAGGGGCTGCACTGCAGAGCGACATCAAGCAAAGGCTGGTTGAGATACTGCTAGAGTACAGTGATATATTTGCGTGGTCGTACGAGGATATGCCTGGGTTAGATACAGACATGGTTGTGCACCGTCTGCCATTGCGAGAGGAATGTCTGCCTGTTAAACAGAAACTCAGAAGAACCAGACCAGACATGGCTGTGAAAATCAAGGAGGAAGTTCAAAAACAGTGGGATGCTGGTTTCCTAGCTGTTACAACTTATCCGTCATGGGTCGCTAATATAGTACCAGTGCCGAAGAAAGACGGTATGTGCGAATGTGTGTAGACTACCGTGATTTGAATAGGGCGAGCCCGAAAGACGACTTTCCACTTCCTCACATTGATGTGTTGGTTGATAATACTGCTCAGTTCTCCGTATTCTCCTTCATGGACAGCTTCTCAGGCTATAATCAGATCAAAATGGCGCCAGAAGACATGGAGAAGACTACCTTCATTACTCCCTGGGGAACATTTTGCTACAAAATGATGCCCTTCGGACTGAAGAATGCTGGGGCAACATATCAACGTGCTATGACGACTCTCTTTCATGACATGATGCACAAAGAGATCGAGGTTTATGTTGATGATATGATTGCCAAATCCCAGACGGAGGAGGGGCATTTGGTTAATCTGCTGAAACTGTTCAAAAGGCTTAGGGAGTTCAGGTTGAGGCTGAACCCTAACAAGTGCACCTTTGGGGTGAGATCGGGTAAACTGCAGGGGTTTATCGTGAGCGAAAAGGGAATAGAGGTTGATCCTGCGAAGATAAAAGCAATACAAGAAATGCCGACGCCTAAAACAGAAAAAGAAGTGCGTGGGTTTTTAGGGAGGTTGAATATCTCACCTAACTGCGACATGCGAGCCGTTATTCAAGTTGTTGAAAAAGGATCAGGTGTTGACCTGGAATGAAAATTTTCAAAAGGCGTTCGACAAGATAAAAGAATACTTGCAGGAA